TAAAGCATTGTACATTTATGCATACAAATTTTGCACTCTTTGTTTTTATTTTCTACTTTTACTTAGTCCATACAGCTATGCTCTTACACACACTCACGTATCAAACTGTAGATACATATCCACTCCAGATCCCAATGATAACAGTTCTGCTATTACCAGTTATAACTTCGAAAATCCGATCAACCAAGCTGAGGACGAAGGTGAGGAAGATTATGATGTACCTGGAGAACTTGCTAGATTGTTACAGCAGGAAGATAGGGCTATACAACCTCATGAAGAGCCAGTGGAGACAATAAACCTGGGCACAGAGGTAGATAGAAAAGAAGTCAAGATCGGTGCAAATCTGGGGCTTAATGTCAAACAGCGGTTGATACAAATGTTGCATGACTATGTCGCGATCTTTGCCTGGTCTTATGAATACATTCCAGGACTGGATACCGATATTGTGGTTCACCGTCTGCCAACCAAAGAAGATTGCCCTCCGGTAAAGCAGAAGGTTTGTCGCATGCACCCTGAAATGTCAGAGAAGATCAAAGCAGAGGTTATGAAGCAGTTCAACGCTGGTTCCTTAGATGTCACCTCTTATCCCCAATGGGTGGCCAACATAGTTCTAGTGCCTAAAAAAGACGACAACATACGTATGTGTGTGGACTACAGAGATTTGAACAGGGCAAGCCTCAAAGATGACTTTCCACTCCCCCACATTGGCATTCTGGTTGACAACACCGTGCAACACAATATCTTTTCCTTCATGGACGGTTTCTCTGGTTACAATCAGATCAAGATGGCACCCAAAGATATGGAGAAGACAACCTTCGTCACGTAATGGGGAACTTTCTGCTACAAAGTGATGTCGTTTGGATTAAATAATGCCGGGGAAACCTATCAGCGAGCCATGGTCGCCTTATTTCATGACATGATTAATGATGAGATAGAGGTATATGTGTATGACATGATAGCCAGGTCTCAAACTTAGGAAGAGCACCTGGATCATTTACAAAAGTTGTTTGATAGGTTGAACACATACAAGTTGAGGTTGAATCCAAACAAGTTCACCTTAGGGGTAAGGTTTGGTAAACTGTTAGGTTTTATTGTTAGTGACAAGGGTATTCAGGTAGACCCTACAAAATTCAAGGCTATACAAGAGATACCGGCTCCTCGCACTGAGAAGGAGGTCAGAGGCTTTTTTGGGACGATTAAATTACATAGCCAGGTTCATTTCCCATTTAACTGCTACTTGTGAGCCAATCTTCAAGCTCCTGAAGAAAGATCAAGTGGTAAAATGGAATGACGAATGCCAGACTGCCTTTGAAAGAATCAAGGAATACCTTAAAGAACCACCAATTTTGATGCCTCCGATTGAAGGAATACCTTTGATAATGTACTTAATAGTGTTAGATAATTCAATCGGGTGTGTGCTGGGGCAGCATGACGAGTTTGGTCGAAAAGAGCATGCAATATACTACCAGCAAATAGTTTATCGACTGTAAAACAAGATACTCACTGCTCGAGAAAACTTTCTGCGCTTTGGCATGGGATGCTCGTCGACTGAGACAGTGTATGTTGACCCAAAATACTTTGTTGATATCTAAGATGGACCCAATCAAGTACATATTCGAGAAACCCACCCTCTCCGGAAGAATAGCAAGATGGAAAATGATCTCGACTGAATATGATTTCTAATACACAACCCAGAAAGCAATCAAGGGAAGTGTGCTAGCTGATCATTTGGCTCATCAGGCTGTGGATGACTACCAGTCCATGAATTTTGAGTTTCCAGACGAAAATATTATGCTAGTGATTGACTATGAAGAACCTGGACCGAATGAAGGACCTGCAAAAGGATCCCGATGGATTATGGTTTTTGATGGAGCCTCGAATGCACTCGACAATGGCATTGGTGATGTAATTATATCTCCTGAAGCCTGTCATACTCATTTCACTGCTAGATTATGTTTCAACTGTACCAACAACATGGCGGAGTATGAAGCATGCATCATGGGTCTCAAAGATGCTATTGACCTGAGGATCAAGTTCCTGAGCGTTTTCGGGGATTCAGCCTTGGTAATAAGTCAGATCAAATGGGGATGGGATACGAAACACCCAAATCTCATCACGTACAAAGAACATGTGCTGCCATTGCTTCCGCACTTTGAAGAGGTCACCTTTGAACATTTTCCATGAGCAGAGAATGAGTTAGCGGAAACGTTATCTACCACGTCATCTATGTTCAAGGTCAATAGGACAACAAGGCTCCTCGGATCACCATTGAGAGGTTGGATGAACCAGCATACTGCTATGAAATTGACACTGAATAAGTAGCATACAAACCTTGGTTCTACGAAGTGAAGAGGTATCTCGAGGATCAAGAGTATCCCGATGGGGCATCTGTCAATGATAAGAAGTTTCTGAGAAGGTTCTCCGCTAAGTTCTTCCTCAGTAATGGAATCCTCTACAAGCGCAACCATGACTCTACTTTACTTCGGTGCATAGAAGAGAGCGAGGCAGAGAGGATTATGACAGATCTACACGAAGGTACTTTCGAAACCCATTCGAGTGGACATACCATGGCTAAAAAGATCCTACGGGCAGGATAATATTGGTCCACTATGGAAGCAGACTGTTATCATCATTCTCTAACTTGTCACAAATGCCATATCTACGCTGATAAGGTGCATGTACCTCCAGTTCCTTTGAACGTATTGACGGCTCCTAGGCCCTTTGGAATGTGGGGAATTGACATGATCGGAGAGATTATACCTACTGCTTCTAATGGGCATCGCTTCATCCTGGTGGCCATTGATTACTTCAAGAAGTGGGTTGAAGCTACCTCTTTTGCTACTGTTACCAAGAACGTTGTAGTGCGATTTATCAAGCATAACTTGATTTGTCGGTAAGACGTGCCAAATAGAATCATCACTGATAATGGTACAAATCTCAACAACATGATGATCACCGAACTCTGTAAACAGTTCAAGATCCAGTACCATAATTCTTCCCCTTACCGGCCAAAGATGAATGGAATTATGGAGGCTGCTAACAAGAACATTAAGAAAATCATACAGAAGATGACGGTGACATACAAAGACTGGCATGAGATGTTACCATTTTCTCTTCACGGGTACCGCACCTCCTCACGAACATCGACATGGGAAACACCTTACTCTCTGGTATACTGTATGGAGGTTGTCCTTCCTATTAAGGCCCAAATCCCTTCTCTGAGAATCATGAAATATGCGGGTTTGAACGAAGACGATTGGATCCAGAATCGACTTGATCAACTGAAACTGATTGATGAGAAAAGACTTACTGCTGTCTGTCATGGTCAAATGTATCAAAAGCAGATGATCAAGGCTTTCAACAAAAAGGTCAGACGCCAAGTATATCAAGTCAGGGATATAGTGATCAAGCGCATCACACTACCGCATGGTTATCCCAGGGGTAAATGGATTCCCACATACAAAGGGTCATTTGTGATCAAAAACATATTTTCTGGTGGAGCCATGATTCTGACCACCATGGATGGTGAAGACCTTCCTCACTCGGTTAATGCGGACATAGTGAAAAGATACTACCCATGAATAAAGACCCGCTAGGTTGACTAGCCTAGGAAAAAATAAGGGCATCCCGGTGAACCAAAAGGATTTGGGAAAAAATTAGGGATGAAAACAAAAATATTTGTACACCCGGCAAGTCGAAAACCTGAAAAGGCGGCTTGGGCAAAAAAGGGTATCCCGGTGGACTGAAAATCCAAAAGGGCGGTCCAGGCAAAAGTTATGGATTTGAAGCTTACCACTATGTCCCATTGGATCACTTTACCAGACTTTAGTATCAACTATCAAGCTCAAACGGCACCGATCAATCCATTCATCTTCGGATAAGTAGCAAGGTGATGAGACGCTCAAAGACATAGCGGCAATAGCAGAATTGAAACTCAATGGGATTATTACACATAGCTATTTTATTCTCTTTGTACACTATTTTGTATAGTCTTCACTCTCACGGCGACGTTCTCCTACTAGAACCCCAGTCTCTTTGTACACAACGCTTGTTATAGGCAAACTTCGGAAATTAATACAAGTCATTTTTATAAAACCATTTGTTTTTTTGTTTTTTCTGTTTTGTTATGCAAAAATGTCCAATGATTTATTCTTGACATATGCATTTGAATATGATCTCTATTCACAAATATTTGCATAAGAAACAGAAGGACAGTTGCTCATGACTTAAGGAACAGGGCAAAGTCTAAAAAACAATTTGTAATTCCGACAATTACTCCTTCCGGCAGGTACAGGGGCAGAGACAGTTTTGAGACAAAGTCACCATTACATGCGCCCCCGTGGCTTCTATGATCCCCACAGAGTAGAGGCAACCAAGAGTTTTTATCCTTGCTTCCCCAAATAGGAGTTACTTTCCCCAGCAAAGTTCCTTCAGAGAGCCGATATCTATATTCCCGAGCCAAGTTTTATAATCACAAACGGTTTATAAAGATTCATCCCGAGAAGAGTTTATTTCTCTGAATGCAGAAGCTCAATCCCCAATAGATTTTATTTCTCCAGCTATGGAAATTCATCCCCCAGTGGAGTTTATTTCTCCAAATCGGAAAAATATTCTAGTAAAGCATCTCCTCTCGTAAATAGAGTTATTCCTCCGCTAAGTTATTCTCAGGAAGAGTCTCTCCCCGGCAGGACATTCACAAACAGAAAGGATTAAATCCCCAGCATAGACATCTCCATTCACCATCCCTAACGGAAATAAAGAATTCAGATTCCTAATGTTGTTCAACAGCAGTCTGGGATTTATTTCCCCCGACTAAGAAATACCACAATAGCATCCCATATTCATACATCATGGCATGCGCATAAATATTGCATATGGCACAATTTCATTTATTTTGAGAACATCATCACAATGCATTTCATACATCATGACATTACATACGACTAACTCTTTACCTTTCAGGGAAAAGATTAAATCAACAAGCTACGTCTAACCAAGGACTATTCCAGGATTTTCCTCAGAAGGATGTCCTCACAAGATTTTCCCTGGGTCAGACAGGTCGACACTAAGATCTCTTTGATTACCATTCCAGTGGAAGATACTCCAAGACTTTCGTATGGGTCAGTTGAGTCGCTACTAAGATTCTCCTGATTACTATGCCAGTAAAAGTTAACCCAAGGTTTTCCCTGGGTCAGACAAGTCGACACTAAGATCTCTATGATTACCATTCCAGCAGAAGAGGTTCCAAGACTTTCGTCTGGGTCAGTTGAATCGGTACTAAGATTCTCCTTATTACTATGCCAGTCAAAGTTCCAAGATTTTCCATGGGTCGAACAGGTCGAAACTAAGATCTCTCTGATTACCATTCCAGTGGAAGATATTCCAAGACTTTTGTCTGGGTCAGTTGAATCGCTACTAAGATTCTCCTGATTGCTATGCTAGTCAAATTTAACCCAAGATTTTCCCTGGGTCAAACATGTCGACACTAAGATCTCTCTAATTATTATGCCAGTGGAAGATATTCCAAGACTTTCGTCTGGGTCGATTGAATCGCTACTAAGATTCTCCTGATTTCTATGCCAGTCAAAGTTAATCCGAGACCTTTCTCTGGTTTAGTCAAATCGATACTAAGATTTCTATCCCAGTTGAAAACAATCCAAGACCTTTCTCTGGTCCAGTCAAATTGATACTAAGATTTCTACTCCAGTTAAAGAAGCTTTGAAGCCCGGAAACTGACCGGATAATAGTCAATCAACAATTCAAGACATTGTGAAGCCGGGATCCTGGCTCGATAACAGTTTAATCTCATCTCCCCAGTAAGTCGTTGTGAAGTCTGGAGCACGACCAGATAACAGTTAGCCTTATTATCCTCAGCAAGCCATTGTAAAGCCTGGATTCTGACCAGATAGCAGTTCACTTCCGTCTCTTCAATCAAGTGATGACTCCTAAAACCCTATGTTCCAAGACAGAGACTAACATTCCTCAGCGGAGTCCTCTCTAACAGCAAGAACAGGAATTCCAACAAAGGGATATCTCATGAAATCATCATTGTTCTGGATGGCATCTTTAAGCCCATCTCTGAGGACTCTCCATCACATTTTGATGGCATCTTTAAGCCCATATTCGACGATCTTCCGTCATCTTCTCCAAATGGCATCTATAAGCCCATTCCCAATACTATCTACACAGTCAAGTATCGTCTCAGACGAGTGCAAATTTCTGGGAACTCTAGTGTTCAATCATCTTCCACCTTCAGATCACGAAAGGCAGACCAGCCAATCTACATCCTCAGGTTTAAGAAGATTAAACAGAGGCAGTTGTTGTACCCCAAAATTTGTCCTCTCATATTTTTCCAAGATTTTCCTCTTGCATAGGTGGTTACAAACCTTTGCCTAAAGACAAGGAAATTTTTCAAATGATGTTTCTAAGTTTCATTCGATTGGCATATTTCTAAGTTTCCTTCGATTGGCCTGTTTCTAAGTTTCCTTCTATTGGCCTATTAACAAGGCTCTTTGATTGGCACCTACTAAATTCCTTTCGATTGGTATCTCCAAAGTTCCTTTCGATTGGTATCTCCAAAATTCTCTTCGACTGACATATACATACGGTCCTTCGATTGTCATATACATAGCATCCTTCGATTGACAATTGCAAAAGGCCTTTTGATTGGCCTCGTGACAAGCCTTTCAATGGGCATAATGTCAAAGCCTTTCGATTGGCATAGCAAGGGATCCTTCTATTTAGCATTGTGTCAAAACCCTTCGATTGGTATTTGGACAAAGGCCATTCAAAGAACTCCTTCTAGGCCATTCGAAAGAGGCCATCAAGAGGGAAATCAGAAAATATGTCCAGACCAAATTCTTTCCTTATTTGGTCACAATTCCACAAGAGTTGATTCGATCAGGAAACTCTCTTCAAAAGGACAGGAAATTGAAGCAAAGGGTGGTCCAATTGAAGGAGTCTTAGTATTGAAGTTGGCACAGTTCTACTCAAAACCATCAAGGAGAACAAGGTTCTAATAAGGAAAGTCCTGATTAGTTCGAATTGAAGTTCAAGACTGGAACGGAAGGAAAATTCGAAGGAATGAAGATAGAATTTTGTTCCAAAACAAGCCAAAAATCCCACAATCGAAATAAGATTTTCCCATTAAAGGAAGAATGAAACAGGCTGGAAAATCAAAGAAAACATATTGGAATAAGAACACAAAGACTTGGCCATTTTAGAAACAAAAGATACAAGACAAATCAAATCTTTTCTCACTCAATCTTCAAGATTCAGTTCAATTTTGTTAACTTAATTCATCCTACTATATATACATAACAAACCCTGATCATAAAAGGAGGATTTGGCCGTGTAGAACAACCACCAGACTGCTCATAATTTTGATAAAAAATGTTGATTGAGTTCTGCTCTAGAGGGAGATTCAAGGCGTTTCAAAGACTGCAATCCATTCCTAGGCGCATTTGGAAGCTATCTGGACCATTCTCATGCATCAACACATCCAGAAACAGTCTATACAAGTATCACAATTTGCTCTTTTTTTCTTGAAGTCGGTTTAGAATATACACGCGTGATAAACGAATTCTAAATACATATTCATGTTTGTATAATCGTTTAGAACATATCTGCATAATTAATTATATGTTTTGATGCATATTTGATTGAATACCATGGTTAGGGTTCCAAGGTTCTATTTGGGGTCTTTCGTTTCAGGAAAAATCAGGGCAAAAGATGAGTACCATTCTACTCACAGAACCAAACCCAATTGATCTGTATACTTGGTTTGAATTTATATTGTCTGGTGTTGATTTTTTAGAATTGCAGGTTTGTAGATACAGCGTTATCTATAGGTAAAACCTTTAGGATAAAACGATAGTCCCAACGAGGAAGACGATGGCGTGTCCAAACCTGAGTTGCCCATATGAATTTTGCGTGTTTTATTTATTGCACTGACTTTTCATCACATATAATATACGTTGTTTGTTAACATTAACGATTGAATGATTGGCTCAGTGGCAAAGCGGAAGGATTTTCAGCGCGTGTGTGTAGGAGGTAAGGGGTTTGATCCCTGCCTCCTACAAGTTATTTTTCTTAACAATTCTTTGCAGATCCCATGCCATCCTTCCCTGCGTGCACACCATAGGCCTCCAGATCCTCATCCTTGGATCAATCAGCGCCTGGATCCAATGCCTCCAGTGAAGCTCCCCATGGTGGACACTCCTGGCACAGTCACACAAGATCCCACGTTGCTATGGGCCAACTGGATTGGGCTTTGAACAAAAATTCAGCATGCACCCTCCAACTTGGGTTTACACCCCTCAGGCTTACTCTATTTTTCCTTCTAATTTTATCATATTTAAATTAGTTTATTTGTTTTATTTCAAATCAATTTTTTTGCATACAACCATAAAATCAACATCACAAAAAAATAGGATTTAGTTTTTTTTTCAATAAATTAATTTTTGTAAATTAATTAATTTCATCAATTTTAATTTGTTTCATTAATTAAAATTAATTAGAAAAATTAGGTCAAACTTCAAATCTTTTTCACAAAAATCCTAAAAAATATTTTCAATGATCAAATTAGGTTTTTTTAGGGTTTCAAACTTATTTCAATTTTTTATTCTCATGCGTAACTATTCTTGTCGTACGATTATTTTTATTATTGATGTAACTGTGCCCAGTTTGTAATAGATTAATTAGGGTTTTGTTTCTGCATTTTATTTTCAGTCAATTCCTTATGTATCTACACCAAAGCTTTGTAATAGCGTAAGACCTTTATTTCTCGCTTTTATGTTCTATATGCTTGTATATAACTGCTAGCAACCTAGGCATGTATGAGTAATTAATCAATAAATCACTAAATTTAATATAAATATATCTGAAAAAGGCACACTTTTGCACACTTGCACCCCTATGGTATTACCTCATTTGGTTGCCTTCAGAAACAATGGTCATGTACCTTGAACATGGGGATACCCTTAGCAAAGACCCTCGGTTAAAGTCATCATAAAGATCATAGTACCTCAATGTCCCTCGAGTTGCCTACGAGAAATGATCTTGTCCCTCGATGTTGCCTACGAATATATGATGACAGTCCCTTCGAAATGCTAAGGTATCCTTACATGTTTCCTTCAATGACCATAAGTGTCCCTTTCGATAGTCCCTCAACATCCAACGAATAGGGTTACCTACTCACTAATAGTAGGATAGCATTGTCTAAAGGATAGAAGGAAAAGAACAAACTTTTGCGAGTAGGTAGATAATTGTTAGGTACTTGCTCAAACAATTCTTTTTACACACTACACTTTCAAACACTTTTCAAGCATAGTTTTCAAAACTCTTTATCACACTCTTGAGGACTGATACAAGGGTTATCATAAAGTGAATCGCCATACTAAGGCATTTTCAAACAAAATTTTTTTCACCCAAACACGAAAGAAATTTTCAAAAATGAGCAAGTACCTAAGGGCCCGTATAAAACTACGGATGGAAAGGGTGATAACACCTTCCATTTCCATAATCTACCCCCCTTACTAAAAAAATCTCAAAAAAGGTCTTTTTCTATTGTTTTCACCCTTTCCTTTGTTGGATAAAATAAAAGTCGGTGGCGACTCTTTCTTACCGCGACATTTGCAAACAAAAAACCCAAACCAGTATTAACATTCGGTTCTGCCACCGTATCACAGTTATCAATCATAAACTTAAAACTATAAGGGATGTTAACAGTATAACACACTCAAAGGTCATGATGAATTGGTAAAGTATAGACCCTAAGTGCATACAAGCATTGTAATATAAATAGATAAAAGTTAATGTTCTTAGATGTTATGGGAAGTAGCCATCAAGGTACACTAAAGAGACATGGCACAAAATCTCATGAAGCAATCACTAAACAATGATGCTCAAAACACAAGTAAGGAAAAGAATGTAGCTTCTAATATGTCACCATGTTGGTTAGAAAGTATGTTCTTAACCAAAGATTATAGAAGCAAGGGAAATAAGATGAGAAGAGAGAGCATATGATAAATGATCAAGCATAAACATTGGATCACTATCCCCTAAGAGCTTCACCAAACCACAAACCTAATACTAGGTGCAATTGAAATACATATGGCTTCTAATTTGTCATCGTGATGAATTAACAAATGGGTGTTAATTAAATAATAAAAGGAGTTATGCATGAGAGAATTCAATACCTTAGAGGTCATAAGTGTATACAAAGAGACTTCGACCATTTTGGATCAATGGTACTTAAGTGGAAGTGTACATGAACATCTTTCCAAACCATGATTACAAATGATGGACAAATAATCTTTAAACAAAAGATAAAATGTTTGAAAACTTAAATGGTTCATAGACATTA